TCAGAGGGCAGACAGCCTGAAAACCACAGTCACAGAAAACTAACCACTCTGATCACATGGACCACAGTCTTGTCTAACTCAATGAAACTATGAGCCATGCCATGTGGGGCCACCCAAGATGGACGGGTCATGGTGGAGAGTTCTGACAAAATGTGGTCCACTGGAGAAGGGAATGGCAAACGACTTCAGTATTCCTGCCTCGAGAACCCCATGAGCAGTATGAAAAGGCAAAAAGATAAGGACACTGAAAGATGGACTCTGCAGGTTGGTAGGTCCCCAACATGCTACTGGAGATCATCAGAGAAATAACTCCAGAAGGAATGAAGAGACAGAGTCAAAGCAAAAACAACACCCAGTTGTGGATGTTACTGGTGAGGGAAGTCAAGTCCGATGCTATAAAGAGCAATACTGCATAGGAAACTGGAATGTTAAGTCTATGAATCAAGACAAATTGGAAGTGGTCAAACAGGAGATGGCAAGAGTGAACATCATTTTAGGAATCAGCGAACTAAAATGGACTGGAATGGGTGAATTTAACTCAGATGACCATTATATCTACTACTGTGAGCAAGAATCCCTTAGAAGAAATGGAGTGGTCATCATGGTCATTGGTTTATAGACCTTTGCAAAGCATGATTCTGGAGGGCAAGATAAAACAGAAACTGAGATGCTACCTTTGTTTCAGTCACACCTTTTTTAAATTGTGTTTTTCTCTCATCCTCTCTCATATGTTTTAATTCTGTTTTACAAGAAAGAAGCAAACCTTCCAATTTGTTAGATGAAAAAGAGAAGCTTTGTATCAAATGTCATCAAAAAGACAAGGACAGGTACAATTTCTTTCCTCCAAACAGACAGACATGATCAGAAACAGAAAGATATAGTAAACCTCTCAGTGCTGAATTCAGATATATACTGTTGATATATACTCTTACTAACCCCAGCTGTTAGCTTAATAATTCATCAAAATACTTGATATTTTATTCATTGATTAGCCAAATCAAAAGCTTCTAATTACATCCATATAGTTTTTTTTTCTTAATATAGTCTTTTGGAGACACAATTGAAAATCAGTTACACAGTCAAAACAAGAATTAAAAAGAATAATCATAAATACAAAAATCAATATTATCTTTCCATCTCATGGTATGTCAACAATACTTTATCACAGTCCTATTCAAAGTGTTAAAATGCCACACCAGTTATTAAATAAAAAATAAACTAAATAAAATTTTAAAAAACAAACTACAGTGAAATGTGTCTGCTACTGTTGAAAATCACCAGATACAAATTTATATAGCTTTATGTATATAGCAAGTACTTGCCTTGCCATTGGAACTTGTATTTCCACCTGTGACTAAATAGAACAACTGCTGTTTTACAGGGATTATAGTTGAAACCCATATCATCTCTTTGGTAGGGCTTTTAACCCAGCTTCACTTCTATAATTCATTAAATAAGTGCTGAAACAGTCACTTAGAGCATATTCCTGCTTTCAAAGTCAATGTGGGTCTGAAATGTATTGACAGTTTCCAGGTATTGGTCCTAGGTCAGGTTAATAATCAGTATAACTGACAGAGCTGAATAGTGATTTCATTTTAGCCATCCCTGTTCCTTTTGGAGATGAACCTCCACTTCCACTCATGGTTACCCAGACCTAGTCAATGGCATCATCTAGCCACAAGGGGGCTGAGAAGAGTAATCCTATCCTAGGTCCAGAAGTTAGCTAGCAATATTGTATTTGGAGAAAGGTCCCAAGGATTACCACATAAGGATGAGCATATATCACTGAAAAATTCATTGCTGGTAAAGTAGTTAATCAAACTTACTATATTATCCATCCTAGAAACATTCTACATTTTGTATTTTCTAAATTTTAATGGGTTAAATTTGATTGAGTAATGTTTTATATTACCTGGTATTGGTAATTAACATAAGTGATCTAGTTAGCATAGGTCAACATAGGGAATAAAATTTATAAAGCTAATTCATAATTTTCAACCATACTTAGTACATGCAAGGTCATTTATTTGAGTATTATATTAATGCAATCCATTATAAGATATTTTTCTCCAAACCCTTAATATATTATCTAGGCTTAGAGGTCATTAGTTACAGTAGAATTCGACATATCCTGTCATGATAGTAAAGAAATGCCAAATGTCTCAGGTTCCTGGAAAGGGCATTGGAATGTTCAATTTTATCATAGGTAAAGACAGGGGACAGCCGCAGATGGTCAAAAATAATAGGATATACTGTTTTGACCTATCAAGTGTCTTTCTCCAAAAAACTCACCCAGATTTTGCAAAATACTGTTTTTCTCTCAAGCATAGATATTTGCAAATATATAAAAATTACCGTAAAGTTGGAAAAAATCCATAAATTATCTTGTAAATAAAAAATGCGTTTGTCAGTTACAGTATCTGATTAGATATATTTCACATAAATTTAAAATCTATGTTATACTGAATATATTTTGACATTTAAAACTCTAGAAAAACAATCCCTCATTTTGTTCTGTGCTTAAGGTGAAATATTTCTATCAGGTGTCATTTTAAAACAAAAACACTACATTTAAACCGGCAAATCCCACAGACTATAAACTAATATTTAAGTAAACTCTTAAAATTATTTTCATGAATTTCTTTTTCTCTTAAGTTTTTGTACTAGACTTATGGAAATGCTTAATAGTTATTCAAATAGTATGAATCAACTTAGTTTAGTTCTTAGCTTGTGTTCTTCTATTACTGATATATTGCATTTTATGGCTTTGCATTACATGATCTCATGATTTAAACGGTACAACTTGTTCTATTTCTTGGCTGGAGACCAATTAAACAACCACTGATGCAAGCAGTTATTACCTGCTTAAAAGGAAATCTGTGGTTTCCTTATTTAAACTGCTGAGTTTTAATGTCCATCGAAAAGTCTGTTATTTCAATTTAGCCATTTACGTATACTACACATTTTAACACTACAAGCATGAATTTAAGACTGCAAAAGATTCCTGTAGTTTCTCGCAGTCCCAGGAATCAGAATCATACTTGCTCTAAGTCGGATTATACTTACTATTTAAAAAAACAGAGGTTTAAGGGACAGTCATTTTTGATTATTTAGATAAAGAAAACGAAAGTATCAAGTTTACCAGAAGTAGCTGGAGAAATGATTGATCGTAAAGACCTCAAAAACGTGTTTACACATACGTAAGTGGATACAGATGACCGGTTCGAAAAAGATAAAAGGTCAACGGATTTGGAGATGTACGGGTGTCATTTCCTCAGTTTGTCCCTTGGTGGCGTTCTTGAGTCACTTTCTCCCTTCCCGTCAAACTGCTTTATATTTCTTTCCAGAACTGGCTATCATGTTTACTGTATTTAACCTTTTTTCTTTTATTATCGTAAATACAGCGTCTATAATGAATGAAAGCCCCCCAGAGATCATATCTCTGGCACCTACGTCTTTGTATTCATTCTAACCCATAAACTTTTGTTGTTTTTCCTCTTCCTGTCTTTTCTTAAGGCTTAAACTACAACACGGACCCTGGATGCTATTTTTCAGCTCAGTCATTGAATTTTTTTTTTTTTAACGGCAAAGCAGTTTTAAGTAAGCAAGGTTAGTCGATAAATTTAAAAACAAAAACCAAAAAGTACCGAGTATTTTAAGATATTGGCATAGAAAACAAATCGTTGGTCGAGCTTTTATTAAGTGTCTGTTAGAATGGAGTGATATGTCTATAATAAATTGTCCTTTTTAACCTTCGTTTCAAAGGGACATTTCTTTTTCTTGTCTTTAAAAAAAAAACAACAATTCAACATTCTCTCATACTTTGGTTCATACAAGGGATGACGTTGTATCTGATCAAGGCGGGTTTTAGGACACTGATCTCGTTTTCTCTAATTCTGGACGCCAAAGCAACAGCAGCGGCAGCGGGCTCTTTAATTTATTGCAGCCGGTTACACTTTCGATTCCATTTCCTTCTGAACCCTTTCCTCTCAGGTTCAGAAGATAAATGCAGCCTCGGGACTGAAGCCTGGGCGGGGTTTGTGGGTGGGAGCGAACCCGGATATCATCTTCCCTTGGTGAGGTCTTGTCCCGCGGGGGATTTAGCCCCCCGGTTGCATTTAATGAAATTGCTGAGCACTTGTGACACTGGCTCTGAGACTGCGGAAATGGGGCGGGGGTGGGGGAATAGGCTTCTCGCCTCCATTCATCCTTCGCGCCGGCTGGAGGCTGGAGTTGGAGTGTCAGTCCCTAGACAGGGGGCGGAAGAGGACGCGAGCTCCGAGCGCGGCCTGGGCGCTCCGAGAGCTCTCCTCGCCTCGCCCACAGCCCTAACCCCGCCCATTCCGTTCCCTTTCCCGGGAACCCAACGCACGACCGGGCCGATCTGCCAACACTCCTGGGCTGCTCTGGCGGAAAGGTCGGAGCCGGGCAAAGTGGGGGAAGGGAGAGGCCAGAAGGCTTCAAGGCCTCGGCAGTCTGGCCGCGCTCTTCTCCATGCCGGGCACGTCGGACCCATTTCCCACGCCGGTTTGGCTGCGCGGCGGAGTTGGTAGGGATGAGAGTGGGGAGGGCGGGCTGGTGACTCGCAATGAGGAAACCACTCCACTGTGAAGGTCGCCGCCCCCCTCCCCACTCCACCCCACCTCCGGGTCATCTGGAAGGAAATTTCAGCGCTCGAGGGAAAAGCCGCCTACTCTCTTCGCCCCCTCCGCTGGTGTGCGCCTAGAGAACGCGCGTCGGAGCGGTGGGCGCACGGGCTGGTTCAAGTTTACAGTCTGGCGAGGCAAGAGGGAGTGTACAGTGTCTCTGCCTACGCGGCTGCCCGAAGTTTGCAAAATCTTCGGAAAGGCGGCGAGAGGACTGCGTGTCCTGCACCATATTGCCGCGTTATGGGAATGCGCGGGCTTCCGCCTTGGACCCTGGAAAAAACGGGACCGGGTGTCTCAGGGAGGCAGCGTTCTGATAAACCAGACTTTGCTTAATAGAAGGGGAATTCGGCTTTATTGACACTTAGCTGCGGCTTCTGCGCTGCGGCGCCCGCCCCCGCCCCCCGGCTCCAGACTGCGGCTGTGCGCACTGAGTCTGCGCGCCGAGCAGTTCTCGCTGATGCTGCAGATACAGAGCTGAGAGGCTCCGGTGCCTGCGAGGGGTAGGAGGTGGAGGGACAGGGGGTGGGGAGGCGGGTGGAAAGGCCGGATTCCCGGCCTGGCCTCAGAGGAGGAGCCACTACCCCCGGAGTGCTAATGTTTTAACAGTTTGGAAAATACTTGCCAGCTCCCTGGCACACACCACGATTGCTCCATCCTCCGCACCTCTACGATCCCCCATCGGGAATGCTTGGAAATCTCTACCGCCTCTCCCCGCATTCCTGCTGGCTGCGCCCGCCTAAATAACCGCGCGCTGTGTCTGCTCAAAGACTTTATTGGTGTTTGTCTTTAAATCATTCCGCCGCCTCACAGAGGTATCGTAAAGGCAGAGTACCTACTCTGGACGTATTTCTTTCTCTTTTCTTCTTTTCGCTTTAAATTTTCCTTTAAGTGGAGGACCTTTAATGCCTTTAAATTGAGCAAACCGGCTGAGGACTAACCAAAACCTAGTAGCAGCCCCCGTTCTTTTTTTGAGATGGTAAGAATTCCAAGTGTCACCTACCCACCTCAACCCCCTTTAATCTTGGCTAGGCCCCTTGTTTAACTGCCGCTGAAATAAATGAAGAGTAAATGTCTATAGTTCGGAAAACGCGACCAGACTTGAAATCCGATGAGGCGAGCTGCGGTGGCCGTGTGTGAAAACTGGGGAAGCCTCGCGTGGGGGAACACCATCTACGTTCCAGTGGCACAAAGTCAAAAGGAGAGAAAAGGAGCTAGGGACAGTTTGGTACACAAAGTTGACATTAAAGTTTATTTCCCTTTAATCCAGATAGGTGACGCTACACTTTGCCAGTTACTAAAAGCTGCAGGTTTCTGCTCAGAAAATAATATCGAGGCTTCCAACATGTGTTTATTCCCCAGGCGCGCGCACACACGGTCTACCCCGTAAGCAAGCACAGCGACAGGAATGCCAAGCATTTAAACAAAGACAGAGCACCCTCCCCCTCCCCAAACCTCAGCCCTCCGAACTCTGCGCTCCCAAAAAAGGATTGCTCTCCCACTCTCCCAGGAGTTCGCTGTTCTTTCTTAACGACTGCAGCCCATCATGGTTTCTCAGAACACCCGCGTAGATCCCTGGCCACACGCTGGGTCCCCGAAGCCACAGCTGACCAAGCTTTAACCAAGAAGCTAATTCGCGAAGCAGAGACAGTGGGTGGGGGGCAGGGATGAAGAACATACTCTGAGAAGGGGGAGAAACGTTTGCTGACACATATTCGGCGCTCTCACACACGCTCTTGGTATTAGCCAGAGCGAGAAGGAAATTTACCAGCCTCAGGGAGGGAAAGCAAGTTCCCCCAGAAGGCAGCGGCTGCACTCGCTGGGAAGGGAGAGGGACAAGCTTTGGCTTCAGGGGGACTTGTTAGGATTGCGCACACTTGGAGTGGGCCCCGGAGCTGAAGCTGGGCTTTCCGGAGCGGGGCGGCCGGCTACAGCTCTCTCCTGTCCCCCCCCCGCCCCCGCCCTCCTCCCTCCTTTTCTAAGAGTGTGTAGTTTCCACAGCTCCACTGCTACCGCCGCCGCAGTAGCGTCAGGGACAAGCTTGAGCCGCAAGCAAGGCAGAGAGCGCCCAGCAGTAACCATCACTTTGGGCAAACTTGGGGGTTTCCGGCTGGCGGCGGGTGAGCCGGAGCTTCCCACTTGCCATTCAGTGTCTTAGAGCTGCGGCAGCCAAAGGGACGGCGGGAGCGCGAGCACCAGACTCCCCCAGACACCAGAGGGGACGAGACAACTGCGGAATTCACCCGCCGTGCCAGGGCACTTCCGAGGCAACAACCGACTGGCACTTTTTCTCCCCTTGGCAAACTGTTTTTTGTTTTTTTTTTTTTTAAGCTACTTGGCAGCTGTCTCTGACTCCACCTCCCCCCACCCCATGCCTTGTGCTTTTCTTCGGAAATCCGGACAGAATTGGGCATCTTTGTTAATTGCCGTTGGGGGAGCCCGGCTGGGGTCTTTGGCCAGGCCAGCGTCGCCTGCGCACGGAGCTTGGTTTGCTCACCTTTGAACTGCAAAGGGATCAAGTTCAGCTCGAGTTGCCAGTATTGGGACTGGGAGAAAGGAGAGGGAGCGTGAGGGAGAGAGGAGTGGGAGAAGGGGAAAGGGGAAACGGGAGGAGGGAGGAGAGAGGAGGAGGAGAGAGGGAGGGGAGGGATCGAGAGAGAGAGAGCGGGGAGAGAGAGAGGCTGCAATCTCCTCCCTGAATCGCGCACAGCGCTGCAGATCCCAGTGCTCCGACATGCGGGCCGAATGCAGGTGAGGAAAGGCACGGACTCTGCGGCTGCGAACCCAAACTTGGGCACCGCGCGGCGCGCACGGCTCAGCCTTCACCCCCGCGGGCGAACGGCTGCTGCGGTTTCAGGCGGCGGCTTCGAGACTAATGACCTTGCGCAGAGTTGTTAAGAAAAAAGAGAAACCCGAGCTCTCTGGGTGAGACGGGACCGACACTCAGGGCGTCTCTGAAGATGGCTTGGGCTGCTTTTCCGCGCACGGGGGGAACCCGGACGCGAACGGCTGTGTGACTCGAGTCGTCTCCACTGCACGGTGCCCGAAGCGACCTGCCGGGATTTTTCATTCCCAATCTGTTGACTGGCTCCCCCGCTGCCTGAGCGGAGAAGGAGTTGAGACTGGCTTGTTGCTGGCCCTAGCACCTCTTGCAGGAAGCGACTCACGTTTGCCTGGGCAGCCGGAGCAGAAGCTGGGTCTGGAGTGAGTGGCTGGAACGTGAATTGGACTCAACTCGAGTAGCAGCAAAGACGAGCGGGGTTGGCAGGCGGGGGAGGCTGCAGGCTCGCTCCCGGCCGCTTCCCGGCTCCACCGCCCGCCTGCCGGAGCGGTTCCAGCCCCATCCGACTGAGCGGTGACGGGAGCCCGGGTTCCTCTGCCGGTTGCGGGGATGACTCTGGGGGGGCGCCGAGCCCGCGGCGCGCAGTGTCCCGTGAACTGTGAGTACTGCGACTGAACGGCGGCTGGCTAGCGGGCGATTAGCACCCATTGCATAAATTATGAAACAATAACTTTCGGAAGAAGCAAGAGGAGAAAAAAAAAAAAAAGGATCTATCGCTGGTCCCCCCTGGCCGACTCTGGACGCCGCTCTTGCCCCCTCCCTACGTTCCCTCTTGCTTCTTCCCTTCCCGGAGAGGGAAGAGGACTGGGAGGAGGGCAGGCCACGGGCCCCAGAGGAGGGGGGCGCCGAGGGGCCGTAATTAGAAGGAGCAATAGCAGCAGCAGCAGGAGAAGATGCTGAGGATGCGGACCATGGGATGGGCGCGCGCCTGGTGTCTGGGCTGCTGTCTCCTCTTTCCGCTCTCGCTTAGCCTAGCGGCGGCCAAGCAACTCCTCCGATACCGACTGGCGGAGGAGGGCCCAGCAGACGTCCGCATCGGCAACGTCGCCTCCGACTTGGGCATCGTGACCGGCTCCGGTGAGGTGACTTTCAGCCTCGAGTCGGGCTCAGAGTACCTGAAGATCGACAACCTCACCGGCGAGCTGAGTACCAGCGAGCGGCGCATCGACCGCGAGAAACTGCCCCAGTGTCAGATGATCTTCGACGAGAACGAATGCTTCCTGGACTTCGAGGTGTCGGTGATCGGGCCCTCGCAGAGCTGGGTGGACCTGTTCGAGGGTCGGGTCATCGTGCTCGACATCAACGACAACACGCCCACCTTCCCGTCACCCGTGCTCACGCTCACGGTGGAGGAGAACCGGCCGGTGGGCACTCTCTACCTGCTGCCTACAGCCACCGACCGCGACTTCGGCCGCAACGGCATTGAGCGCTACGAGCTGCTACAGGAGCCCGGGGGCGGCGGCGGCGGCGGCGGCGGCGGCGGCGAGGGCCGGCGCGCCGGGCCTGCCGACAGCGCCCCCTACCCCGGGGGCGGCGGGAACGGCGGGAGCGGCGGCGGCCCCGGGGGCTCCAAGAGGCGGCTGGACGCGCCAGAAGGCGCCGGCGGGACCAGCCCGGGCGGACGCAGCAGCGTGTTCGAACTGCAGGTGGCCGACACCCCGGATGGCGAAAAGCAGCCGCAGCTGATCGTGAAGGGGGCGCTGGACCGCGAACAGCGCGACTCCTACGAGCTGACCCTGAGGGTGCGCGACGGTGGCGACCCGCCTCGCTCCTCTCAGGCCATCCTGCGGGTGCTCATCACCGACGTGAACGACAACAGCCCCCGCTTCGAGAAGAGCGTGTACGAGGCTGACCTGGCCGAGAACAGCGCCCCGGGGACCCCCATCCTGCAGCTGCGTGCCGCCGACCTGGACGTGGGGGTCAACGGGCAGATCGAGTACGTGTTCGGGGCGGCTACCGAGTCCGTGCGGCGGCTGCTGCGCCTAGACGAGACGTCGGGCTGGCTCAGCGTCCTGCACCGTATAGACCGCGAGGAAGTGAACCAGCTGCGCTTCACGGTCATGGCCCGCGATCGCGGGCAGCCCCCCAAGACAGACAAAGCCACGGTGGTCCTTAATATCAAGGACGAGAACGACAATGTGCCGTCCATTGAAATCCGCAAGATCGGGCGTATCCCACTCAAGGACGGGGTGGCCAACGTGGCCGAGGACGTTCTGGTGGACACCCCCATCGCGCTGGTACAGGTGTCTGACCGAGACCAAGGCGAGAATGGAGTGGTCACCTGCACCGTGGTGGGCGACGTGCCCTTCCAGCTCAAGCCGGCCAGTGACACGGAGGGCGACCAGAACAAGAAAAAATACTTCCTGCACACCTCGGCCCCTTTGGACTATGAGACCACCAAGGAGTTCAACGTGGTCATAGTGGCGGTGGACTCGGGCAGCCCCAGTCTCTCCAGCAACAACTCCCTGGTTGTCAAGGTGGGAGACACCAACGACAACCCGCCTGTCTTTGGGCAGTCGGTGGTGGAGGTGTACTTTCCTGAGAACAACATCCCCGGAGAGAGGGTAGCCACGGTGCTGGCTACAGACGCGGACAGTGGGAAAAATGCGGAAATCGCCTACTCGCTGGACTCTTCCGTGATGGGGATCTTTGCCATCGATCCCGATTCTGGGGACATCCTCGTCAATACCGTGCTGGACCGCGAGCAGACTGACAGGTATGAGTTTAAAGTTAACGCCAGAGACAAAGGCGTCCCCGTGCTACAGGGCAGCACCACAGTGATTGTTCAGGTGGCCGACAAGAATGACAATGACCCTAAGTTCATGCAGGACATCTTTACCTTTTATGTGAAGGAAAATTTACAGCCCAACAGCCCCGTGGGAATGGTCACAGTGATGGATGCTGACAAGGGGCGCAATGCAGAGATGAGCCTATACATAGAGGAGAACAGTAACATTTTTTCCATTGAAAATGACACGGGGACTATTTACTCCACGATGTCTTTTGACAGAGAACATCAGACCACATACACTTTCAGAGTCAAAGCTGTGGATGGGGGAGAGCCTCCCAGGTCTGCAACAGCCACGGTCTCTCTCTTTGTGATGGATGAGAATGACAATGCTCCCACTGTCACCCTTCCCAGAAATATTTCCTACACTTTACTGCCACCTTCAAGTAATGTCAGGACAGTAGTTGCTACGGTGTTGGCAACAGACAGTGATGATGGCATCAATGCAGACCTTAACTACAGCATTGTGGGAGGGAATCCCTTCAAGCTGTTTGAGATTGATTCCACCAGTGGTGTGGTTTCCTTAGTGGGAAAACTCACCCAAAAGCATTATGGTTTGCACAGGTTGGTGGTGCAAGTGAATGACAGTGGGCAGCCTTCCCAGTCTACCACGACTCTGGTGCATGTGTTTGTCAATGAAAGTGTTTCTAATGCAACTGTGATTGACTCCCAGATAGCCAGAAGTTTGCACACCCCACTCACCCAGGATATAGCTGGTGACCCAAGCTATGAAATTAGCAAACAGAGACTCAGTATTGTCATTGGGGTGGTTGCTGGAATTATGACTGTGATTCTAATCATCCTAATTGTAGTGATGGCAAGATATTGCCGGTCCAAAAATAAAAATGGCTATGAAGCTGGCAAGAAAGATCATGAAGACTTTTTTACACCCCAACAGCATGACAAATCTAAAAAGCCTAAAAAGGACAAGAAAAACAAAAAATCTAAGCAGCCACTCTACAGCAGCATTGTCACTGTAGAAGCTTCTAAACCAAATGGACAGAGGTATGACAGTGTCAATGAGAAGCTGTCAGACAGCCCAAGCATGGGCCGATACCGATCTGTTAATGGTGGGCCTGGCAGTCCTGACCTGGCCAGGCATTACAAATCTAGTTCCCCCTTGCCTACTGTCCAGCTTCACCCCCAGTCACCAACTGCAGGAAAAAAACACCAGGCCGTACAAGATCTACCACCAGCTAATACATTTGTGGGAGCAGGAGACAACATTTCAATTGGATCAGATCACTGCTCTGAATACAGCTGTCAAACCAATAACAAATACAGCAAACAGGTAAGAAGCATCCCACATTTATTTAAATATCTAAGACAGGGCATCTTCTGCAAAGTCTTGTCTTCGCTCTTAAAGCTATTAGTTAAAATTTTAATAGCAGGAAATTGATGTTGGTGTAATTCTTATACCACTTATTTAGTAGAGGCCATTTACAAAAGGTACACCACTATAGTTTGCACCTTATACCAGAGTTTACTAAGCTACAGAAGAAAACACTGTAAGTGCTGTTTTATGCTTCTCTTGGTATTTGACAGTTCTAATTCATCCTACATTTTTTTGTTTCCAGATAAATATGTGTGAATTGTCTGGATGGCTAGTTTTAACCTAAAATTCTTTTCTTTTGTACTACTAAGTGGATAATTTTATGCAAAGGCAAAATTTCTAAAGTTACTACTGTTGTCTATGCAAATCGGACACTAAAAAAGTTGTAGCTACATTATATATTATGCAGAATTTTACAGATAAGCAGATGCTGATTCATGCAAATGAAGTACCAAGTCTGAGATATTGAAATGCTGACTACTCTGACAAAAATGCTGACTTAAAAATATTTAATGATATGTGAATGCCATAAAAAACTACATTTTAATATTTCAGTATCTATACAGTTAGGTTTTTATGAGGATATGCAGTTGGCATTTGTAGTATATGTATTTGGTATGAAAAGTTCATAAGCAAAAGTAAATTGCATGAATCATGTATTATTTAAGCCAAGTAACAAAAATGTTCATGTTTGGTGTAGTGTGTGTGGGAATATTTTGGTATGCATTGTGATATATTGCGACTATAAAGGTTATATGGAATATTTGACACAGTTGTTTCTCAGTGAAATGTGGAAACTAAAAAAAAAGCAAAGTATATTCTGAGGTGAACTTCAGAAAATATATAATTTATTTTTGAAAGTTTTGTTTTGTGTAATGCGTGTGTATAACTCCCAAAGTTTACTTTTCTCACCCATCAACATTTGACATATAACAAATGAACACCGTTTGGAAACTTCTGTATCTATAGCTGTAGCAACTCTGCTAATAAAATGTCACATGTTTCTTACCGCCAGAACATTTCAGGAAACATATTTATGTCTGTCAAGCAATCTCTGATAAAGAGTGTTCTATTAAATATGTTTTGCATGTGGAATGTGTGATCTTAAAATAATTAAGGCAATGTAAAAAGTTTATTTTATAGCCTCACTGAAGATGTTATTGATGGGCTCATTAAAGGTATAGAAAAGAGATAAATATTAATTTCTTATTGTTTTCTATAATTTTAAAAATAAGCTTTATAAAGAACTGTTTTTGATGTATAGTCCTTTATTGTAGCTATTTGGATAAGGAGAAGTAGACAGTATGCTTTTATGTCCAGTTACCAAGCAATCCAAGAAAACACAGGTTTGAACTACATTGAATTAAATGACTTTTAAAAAGATGTCTTTTCAAGTACCTGAGTCTTATTTCCTTTAAACTGAAATATGCTAAGTGGAAAGTATGTTTGTTATCGCTTTACCTAGAATTAGAGGCAGATTTCTATTTTGTTTTTGGTGCTTTTATCTGTTTTATAAACAAGGAAGATTCCAGTTAAAAGTAACATCACTTTTATAACATTAGTTATAGAACCCACAAATAGAGATTTGTAGAGATTTCTTTAGAAAATGATAATTTGTTAAGAGAAAGCATGTGAACAGATCTTTATGCAGAATACGTACTTTACTGTCATCTTAAAAGGACTTTGTATCCTGTGGTTGACTAACATTTGCATTCTAAATTATGTAATCTTAAACTTTTGAGTGGACATATCAAGTGACAGATTTATAGATATTTTATACAACTACCTCCTATGTTCTGTTCTGTCACTTAAGCTTTATTTGACTCATCAAATAGGGTTAGCTCTATATTCTTGAATATTTAAAACAGCCAATATCAAGAGTGTGGTGGCATCCTGTCTAAAAGGCAAAGTGATATGCTTATAAATAAACTAATGTATGGTGTTGTCTCTTAACTGAACAAGGACGTCCATATATCAGAATACCTACAATGCCATTCAAATAAACCATGCAGTTTGCCAAAAGTAACTTTGAAAAACTTGTATGTTGTTAAGCACTTGAAAGATGTATAAAGTTTTAACCACAATAAACAACTGATCTAAAATGAAATAAAGGCAAATGAAATACATTCCCCTTAATGTAATTAGTGATAGTAATTGATATGCTTCATCTACTCAGTATTGCTGTCAGGAGACAAGGGATCCATTTACAAATTTACATTCTGTTTTGACATCTGGCATAATGAGATCTTTTTTGTTCTCATTTTTGTTTGTGCTGTAGATAGATGATTTTCTATATTTATTTTAAAAAGATATTGCCTTTTTAAATATAACCAAAATGTATTTTCTTTGATTAAATCTGAACTATTTTTTTTAATTCAGAGTTTTCTTATAATTTCTCCCCTTTAATGCTGAATTTATGTAAAGAAAATCTTGAGAGTTGCCGTTTTTAAATTTCATATGGTAGGGATTAATTAAAAAATAGAAGGTTTTATCTGACATAAAGCCTTTTCTAATTTATAATTTTTCTGAATTGCCTTATTATAGTTCCTTATTTGTGATGCAATGAAAATGATGTCTATTCCAGTGTTATTATCTTCATGAGAATAAGTGTTGCTCTTAAGTTCTCTTAATGGTTAGGTTATAATGAGTTAAACAGCTTTGTAGAAATGAAAGTTTGTAAAAAATGTCCCCTCCTCTTTTTGGTTTGTTTTCATGGGTTCTAGAGATAGTCAAATCAATCTCCTATAGTTACTCTTGGGCAGAATCTGGGAGATAATGTGTTGCAGAGATACTGGAATTATTTCAGAAATCCGCACATCTGATGATGTAGCCCAGGTTTTCATAGTTCAGGCCTTTGCAAGTCAAACAAGAGCCCTTGTTCTCAACTAAACAATGTGTCTAATTGAGAAAAATGGGGACCACTGACAGCATTAAGTATCCACCTTTTCATTCCATTCTTCTTTTACTTGGTAAATCTGGCCTTGGTAGTTGTTAAAAGTTTTGTGACTTGGAAGTTCAACTGTGCTTTTGATTTGTAAAATGAAAGCAGAAGCATTCTGTTTTCTATTCATTTTACTATGTGTTAAGTATTTTTCAATTGTTTTAAAAATACTATAATTTCAAAAGATTAATAGACTATAAAAAATTAATAGACTATAAAGCTATAGTTCCTACTTTGCATATTATTTTCAACTCCTGTTGAGCTTATCTTTGCCATGATGTTATTTAGATAATGCACTGGCAAGTAAAAATTTTATTTTATTTAGTAAATGGACGGTAATGTACTTTATTTTTGGCAAGCAGATAGAGGATACAGCTTGAATAAACATTAACTTAAAACTCTGTTTGTAGCTGATCCTGAAATACTCAAGAAAAATTCATATTGACTGCAATGACAGTTTCCTTTGCCTAAAAGAACTGCTGAATATCGTCAGAATAATGTTACCTTTAATTGATCAATTTGTGTTCAATATATCCATTGTATACTTTGTAAAGATATGGCAGAAATTATTTTTTTAATTACTTAGATTTTGGAAGCAAGAAATGACTTGCCATCATCTATTACAGTTCTAAGCATAAGAAACCTGAGTATCGATTTATTTGTGAATGTATATTATACCATATGTATTATAGTGGAAATGCATTTGCATGGTGATGCCAACCACAGCTTTCTGCTTTAACTCCATAAGCATTACTTCTACAATATGGTTCTGCTATCTATGACCAAGGACACTTTGAAGAGGCAGAATGAATCTGCATATGGTGGAATTTCTGTTACATATGGCCTGAAATCATAGACAAGAGGCTAGTGACTGATGAAAGTTAGACAGTGTCTTTAGTGAGGAGCTATCTACTAAACAGTTCTTGGCTTTCTGGATATCTGTGAATCAAGGAAAGGGTCATTCACTGATTTGATCTGCAGTGAATATACAGTTTTTTTTGAAGTCTAGGTATGACCATTTGAACCTTATCCCAAACTTCTCCTAAGTCAATTAATGACTTTGACTTAAGACCACAAAGTCAATTTAATAATTGTAAGTAAATCATGCAGCTGGACAACTGTAACAAAAACATTCTTTCTTGTTTTCTTTTATCTTTGAGTAAGTACATATCTCATGTGGAAAAGCATGCTCCTGTGATAAATATGTATCATAATCCCTCTCTCTCTCTTGCTGTCTCACACACACCCATATAGACACACACACAGATATATTCATATAAACTAACTATGGTGCCATTAGGCTATTATTTACTGTGATATTCATACATTAATATGTGGAAAAGACTTAAACTTTAAACACACACAAAGCTGACAATCAAATGTTTAATGTCAAAATTTCTAGAGATGTCACATTTTACAATTAAAAGATATTAACCAAACCAATCTCCTCACTTTGTAGGAGAAACTGAGGCTTAGTTCGAAAGTTAGTTTGACTGAGATCGTAAGATTATCAGGGATATAATGTGGACTAGAGTTCAACTCATGGAATGCAGAGTCCAAGGTTCTTTTTTTTTAATCATTCTACCAGTAGGAAAAAAAAATTAAATTTCTGTAACTTTTTCTGTATGTATTTCAATAGTGACAGAAATCTCTTGAGGTTTTCTTATGTAGGTATAACTATATATTTGGCTATCAAAACTGATGTTTTTTTTACACTAGTATATAATTCTGCTTTGGGTTCTAGTTTTTGTCTGTAAAATTATTGGGGAAATTGTATTCCAAATTTTATAGATTTTTAACAAATTCATAGTTTTTCTCCCTTAAATAAGATAGCAATTAATGGCATTCATTAACGGAACTTAACATGGTTTAGAATATATATTCAACAAGTTGAGAGAATTTTTCATTTTAGCAGAACAATGACAGTAGACATAAGTTCCTATATAGCATTTAGTATATCCTCAATAAAAACATATTTGTAATGGAAATGAATAAAGCTTTCTATACATTGTTTATG